TTCATTTGATCAACTTCATTACAAATGAAGTCTACTTCATGTAGTTCATTTCTTTTGACCCTACACTTAGAGCTAAAACTGAAACAAAACCTACTAATTTGCAATCAATCTCATCAAGGTATCTGTTATTTCCAAATGTTTTACTAACGTTTCGATTACAATCATGATCCATTTGCGTATTAGTGAAATTTATTTGACTTGAATGATTCGATTGCCAGAACTCAAGTCAACAGAACAATATTAATCTTAATTAAGCATAAAAATTATTTAGTACTCTTTATATAAAAAATCTGATGCTTGATTTTATATCATACTACTAAGTAATATTAACGAAGTATCATATTTCATAATTCTTTTCTACACTATGAAGCGTTGGTATGAACATCTTATAACTAAACGTTTCAAAAATAAACTACACCAGTCAGATAATAATGCGATATATAGTTAGTCTATTCGGTTGATCAGACTTAAATGATATGAACATTGGTTGTCGTTTTTTGTGATGAATTTTGTTGGCTGAAAACAAGTGAAGAATTTGTCTGAATGTAAAACAATTTTCAAGTTACCTTGATTTGATTGGCTAATAAATTTTTACTGAATTGTTTGATGTTTAGCTATTTATCCTACTTGATAGTTAACGTTTCATTGATTTATTGTTGGTTACTTCTGTGAATTGATAATTTTCATAACTTTTTAAAACAAGCTATTTCGTTAATTATTCATCACTTATATGACACGGGATAGAATCCGTCAGAGAGCATCAGTTCCTTCAAGAATACAGCTAACGAGTACCAATGAGCATGAAACCTATGTCCAGGGTTTCCGGTTGACTATCTCCAACCACCATCTCTTATTCATCACTTATGTATTTACAAGAGAATAAAATTTTATTTCGATTAATTTTTCAAACATTTCAACGATGATTAATAAGACTGAAGATCCTATATATTTGATGATATATTAGATTATTGTTGAAAAACAGAGTAGTTTAACATATTACAATAGTTAGATATCAACTCACTGAAGACATTAGTGAATGGTTGCTCAATTTCGTGGATTGGTTGAAGTTAGACATCAACACCACTGGATGCCGGCCTGCTCAGTGTTCTATCGGTTAAGTGCTCCGGCGCGAGACTGGTAGGTCCTGTGTTGGGATCTCGCGAGGTGGGATCGTGGATGCGCACTGCTGAGGAGTCTCACAATAGGACGAAATGGCCGTCCAGTGTTTCCAGGCTTTCCATGGTTGTCTAGCTTCAATTGACTCATGATCTCAACTATAAAACAAAGTTTAAATGAATTGAATGAAGCTATAGACAGTAAAAAAGCAACAATTTTCTGACATCTAGTTTGATTTCATTCAGCAAACTAAAGTTGTTTTTTATATAGAACAGTAAATAAATCTGGTTTCTATAAATTCGAAAATTGTACCTTATCATAATGTATCATAAGGCATGTCATTGATATGATGTTAGACGATTGCCAGTATGTGAGAATAACAACTATCTTTAGATGTTATAATAAAAATAGTGTAATTAGCTTAAGAAACTCATTACAATAGATATAAGTTTTATAAGAAACATAGAATTTCTTAGTCCGATAGTTTACGAGATTCAAGTACTCATGTTTTATTGGTTTTAAGTCATATAGCTGAAAAATATGAGATAATAATTCAGAAACTCAATTTTGTACAATATAATTGCCTCGATATACCTTAATTCACAAGCATGGTTAGCAGAGATGGATAATGGCTAGCAGTGGAATCCAGGACGCGCGTTTCGTCCTATTTGGGACTCGTCAGCTGGATGTACCTGCATCTCAGAGTTGATGTTCACTCTGGGATTCGAACAAGCAAGTGGCTATCAGGACTCAGTGGCCGAGTGGATAACGCGATGGCGTTTGAAGCGAGGGTACTGGGTTCGAATCCCAGAGTGAACATCAACTCTGAGATGCAGGTACATCCAGCTGACTAGTCACAAATAGGACGAAACGCGCGTCCTGGATTCCACTGCTAGCCACTATCCATCTCTGCTAACCATGCTTGTGAATTAAGGTATATCGAGGCAATACGCACAGTATGCACATATGCCAATTAGAGACTGACCAGTTGCAGTCCTAACAAATCGATGGGAAGATTCAAACAAACAATACTAAGTTGAATTTGATTATCACATTGTTTTTGTGTACTTTATTTATTTTCTTTGTTACGGCTTACCTTAACCTGTCTAGTTGACCTTTTAATTTTCATATATAAATGTTCTGAACAAGTATATGTGTGATCAGATTGTTCTAAACGTATTACGCATGTATATCATATAATTCTGATAAACTTCGTCTTCTCATTTCATTATCGTAATTTCCTTTATTTTAAATTAAACATTAAATACACTTTGTATTGTTTGTTTGAATCTTTCCATTGATGTTTAGGACTGCAACTGGTCAATCTCTGATTGGCATATGTGCATACTGTATGTATTGCCTCGATATGGCCTTATTTCACAAGCATTGTATGCAAAGATGGATATCACGATGGCGTTTGAAGCGAAAGGTACTGGGTTCGAGACCCAGAGTGAACATCAACTCTGACATGCAGGTATATCCAGCTGACGAATCACAAATAGGACGAAACGCACTTCCTGGATTCCACTGCTAGTCACTATCCATCTTTGCTAAACACTAAATAATTTTGATATGATTTCAAAATAATCTCTACTTAATTATACTGAACTAATAAAGATAATTGTGATTAAAATTAATAGTTTCATTTGAGTAATTAACTTCGTTATATTTTATAATAAATATATATCCCGATGGGTAGAAAAATTGTATTTTTGAAGTTTCGTAACTTAATCTAAGCCACTTCTTCACAGTAGAAAAATGACCGAATTAAACTAACACAAGTTTCTGATTGGGATATAACAAAAAATAAATTTATGATTAACCCTCTACTCAATGCATAAATTAATTTTTACACTGTTTTATGTATGTTTTATGTAGAAATAAATTTTTTGATCAGAATGAGGTTTGTGGAGATTGTGGTAATTTTAGTGGTTGAAATCCATGAGTCAATGAAAGCTAGACCACCATGGAAAACCTTGAAGCACTGGAGAACCGTTTCGCTTCAGTATGAGAGTCCTCAGCAGTGCGCATCCACGACTTAGGGGTTGAGCGTTTGCATGAGATCGAAAGCATTGGGTTTGAATCCCGCTAGCGGGATCGTAGACGGAAAGGTTTTCCAGTGCTTCCAAGTTTTCTATGGTGATATAGGTTACATCGATTCATGGGTTTCAACTACTAAATAAATACGTTTTACCTAATACTTTGAAATATATCAAGTAGAAAAAGAGACTGGAATTGTGTGTACACAGTGAATATTAATACAATAGAGATAATTTTGAAGAAAGTTCCCTTTACTGAAACATTTAAAATAGCTCTCAGTGTATAACTACTTCATACAAGTTCAAATATGTGCTAGTTAAAATAAATCTGTTAATTTAAAATAAACTGTAGTATCTGAATGAATAAATTTATAGAGATCCCATGTACATGTGAAACATATGAACACAATCAGATTTACAATTTTATGATAAATTAACATAATAGCTTTGTGAACTTATCTGACCTTTGCATATATCATTGTCATCTTATACTTTATATCGTAAGTATTCACATCCAATTAGTTTGGACACCTAATCTGCGTACATTGCCTATATTCGTTTGTCAATGTTATTCTTGTTCATATAAACTGTATAAGCTAAGACACAAGAAAAATAAATGATTTAGCTGAAGCCATACACTTACACGGTTGTCTACAGCTTCAAAGATGTATGAAATATGATCTTTCAGGTACATTTCGTATTCGCCTTTCAAAAACCACCGTAGTTCAATTGACTTGTTTATTAATTGAAATCAGAAGACATGCTACCGAAAATTCATTAAAATTTTCCAGGAAAACTAATTGTTTCCGAGGTGTATTATTCAAAGTTAACTGAGTAAATGACGTTTATACATTTTTTTTTCAATATCGTGGTGCGATTATTATCATCCGTCGAAGGAATCCTATATACTTTTTCTTTCATATGTTAATTTGATTCATCGTTTAATAACATTATTTTCTTCATAATTGACAAATCCATTTGAATTGAAAAATTCCAAATGTACATACGACCAACTGTTCAGTTTACAATATATTATTCCCATTTTCTTGTTTCGACAAACAGTGTTAAATTGAATAATCTGTGAGTAGTAACCAACGTCACGCTTATCTAATCATAACGGTGATTGAACAATATCTATCGTACCAATCTATAAGACCACTAATTTAGTTGACTTGACATAATCTTACAGGAGGTTAGCCGGGTTTTGAACAGCTCAATAATAGCATTTCTTATTATGACATTAAGTGATGCGAGTTGAAACCTTTCGGAACTCATCGATTTCTTTGGTCCATAGCTCTCTTCTGTTTATTTCTAATCATCTTAAGAATCTAAATTTTTGCCCTGATTTCATGACGGATTTATTTAGTTTCTTATTGATGACTACAGCTTCATGTAATTTATTCAATTGGAAACAATTAAAAATAAATTACGAAATAAGAATTATTATGTAAATAATGGATAAAATTTTCAGAGTATCATATGAAATGTTATCAGTCAGTCAGTCAGCTACAACGTAGGACCAGACACATATATCCGTCGGTTCAAGTTGCCATAACTCGTTAGCACAACAAGATGAACACCGGATTCATAGAAGTAGTTAATTTAGTGGCGGTAGTATATAAAAGATAGATTGTATATAAGGATATAGTATAGGAAGGAAGAAAGTTATGAAGCAATGTTAATCTTAAGGTTTAGGGCAAGAATGTATAGATCTGTAGAATGTATACATCTACGTCATTGTGATCGATTCTGAGTCATGTCACCCGACTACCACGTCAAGGTAGCAGTAACGGTCAGGATGAAATGTTATACATAATAATGAAATAACACACTGGAATAACTCACTTTAACAGTAGTTAATAAAATTAAAAATTGCCAAACAGGTTTCAATCGAATTACACCAAACATAATTCGATAGGTATCAACAAGTGATAAACCAATCTCTTGTTGACTTTCATCATTTTTTGAATTACTTTTATCATTAGATATATTTCTATTATTAATATTATTTTGATTAACTTCAATTGTATCATTATTCTGAAGACATTCAGTTAGATATTCATCAACACTATTTGATTTAGTTTTGATGGAGTTCCTTTGATGATTTGTTAAATGATGCGGTATTTGATTTGTTCTACAAATTAATTCAAGATTAGTTGTATCTTCTATGAGTTCATTGTCTTGATGATGTTGATTTTTTGTTTGATATAAACTTTTTGATTTTTCTGATAACTTTGAATTATTAAGATCATCAATTCCTTCATGAATATATTTAGAATAAGTTGAATTAGAATTATTAGAATTTTGAATCATATCAACATTATGAATTAAATTATCATTATTATTATCATTAGTATGTGTAGAGTGATGATGATTTAGACGATGGGATTCAGATAAATTTATTTTTCTTTTGAATAGTTTATAAAATAGATTATGTAAACAATTTCTAAATTCAGTATCTAATTTTGAATCATTTTCATGTTTAAATAATACTAAACATGTATTAGTTACCATAAATGTAACTCCCCAAAAATAAAGGAAACCTTTATTAGAAGAAATATAATTTAAAAAAAAAGAAGAGATTAATCAATAATTCGGATACAAAACTGAACTATATGGACTACAATATAATTCAAAGATTTCCATTAAATCTATGGATTAAACAGTAAAACAGAAGTGAATTTTGACATCAATTTCATTAGCTTAATGAATGGATATAAGTTTATTAATAAAGTAATTTGTCAAACAGTAAATATAAATATTAACATCTAAAATTCCTACTTATTAACTTTACCAATGAAAATTCTTCCAAATATCTTTATTTTTATTCATTTATTTAGACACATAGATATTGGTACAAAGGGGCACCAGATACACATGCACCGCACAAATCTCATTTGATTTGTATGAGGGCTGTGTTACTGCTCCTGTGCACAAACCGAAACAGGTGGTTTTCTTAGGGGGACATACTCAGAGCCTTCAACCTAATGGTCTGATCCACAAGACAGTAGAGCATCGTGAGGAGATGCAGTCCTATGGTAGCCGGTGACCGACGATTGGTTCATGCACCATTTGTTCCCTCAGGATACTGGAGCCCATGTGCACCATAGGTTTGGAATCAAGGTCTTTCAACTCCCCTAGGTGGACTTTTCGTGTCCAACAACCCGGTTAAAGAGCCGGACGTTTGCTTTTCATCCTCCCAATTTCGTAAACAACACCCCTGACACGAGAGTAGTGAGTAGGACTTCCCTGAAAGAGGCTATATACGCGTGGCCATGTGAGAGCATTTTGAGAGGAAGAGCGGACTCTTCTCACTCTCGGCCATACCAGGGCATTTGGGGGCTTTCCGAATATCATATGTCATTGGATCAAAGGATAAAGTTTTATTCTAACTGGTATTGTAGTGAACGAGAACACAAGTGGGGAAAATCGAATGTATTCGAATATATAATTACATAACATCTTAATAAAATCTGAGTAACACACGGTAAATATTTCATCTGCAAAATGTTAATCAATCGTCTCAGATTTGATTGTTCTTTCGTTTCCACACCAAACATTCTTTGTTCACATTCTCGTTTTTTTGATCATTTTAACCATCTGCCTCCAGGTATTTGACTTTCGATTAATGATACATACTTCTTACATCTATCGACATCAGTAGCACATATCACAATATTTCATAAATAACAGGCTTCTTCACCAACCAGTTTCTTCTAGTTTATAAGTAGTGAAATATTTAAAATATTGCGGTTTAAAGTTGTGGTAAGTAGTGTATAATATGAAACTTAATTACTGTTAATCCTATTGTGAGTGTTACATATAGAGTCTAATTGTGCTTGAATAAACTTAATATATAACTTGATGGCGTTTGAAGCAAACAGTACTGGATTCGAGTCCCAGAGTGAACATCAACTCTGACATGCAGGTATATCCATCTGACGAGTCCCAAATAGGACGAAACGCGTGTCCTGGATTCCACTGCTGGCCACTATCCATCTTTGCCTACATATATATAATAGTTTTAAAAACTAATCATGTTTTATATTTATTTTCCATGATTTACACTTTGTAATTCATTTATTCACAAATAAAACTGTAATTAAAAGTTTTCAATTATATAAAGTTCACTTAGGATTTTAACTTTTTTTTTAAATTCTACCTTAACTTTTAGATACGTTGTTTATACAAAAATCGTAATGGATTAGTTTTTTTCTTACTGTGTAAAACATTATTTTTTGAGGGGGGGGGGGTTGGCAACATATATGACCTTTTCCGGATGAATATATAACAATTAAAGTAATTACATTAATCATAAACTCATTATTAGATAAATTTTAGTTACCTTAACGAAATGATTAAACAAGTTAAACATGTGTGCTTAGATATCATGTGACTTTCAAAGTACTTTTATTAAAGTTTAGATCAAGGTTATCTAACTACTAATGATCATGGTAAGCAGAGATGGATAGTGGCTAGCAGTGGAATCCAGGACGCGCGTTTCGTCCTATTTGGGACTCGTCAGCTGGATGTACCTGCATCTCAGAGTTGATGTTCACTCAGTATGCACATATGCCAACTAGAGACTGACAAGTTGCAGTCCTAAACACATCGATGGGAAGATCCAAACAAACAATACTAAGTGAATACTAATGATCATGTTTACAAGTTATTTAGAGTGTTTATTTTACAATATTGTCTTTTACTAAAAAGAAACTGATGAACATAAATATATAATGAATGAGTAGAATGGAAGATTAGTTTTGAAGACTGGAGAGGTTCTATGACTACTATGTATTGCTATCGGGAAATAACTAACTCACAATCAACATAAATTAATCCTAAAACTTCTAATTTTTTGATAAAATTTCAAGAGTTTTTCAGTTAGTCTATTATTAGACTCATTATTATTAGACTATTATTAGTCTCATCCAAATAACATAAGTTATTTGGATGAGACACTTGCGGGAAGTGATACAATTATTACCGATAACTATAGATGACGGTTACGCAATAACGTTAATTAAATGAACTTTTGAGTGTAAACAATTGATTTTCAAACCATTGATCTAAAGCTAAAACTCTGTAATAAAATGTTGGAGGCCTTAGACTCACCCTATAGCGTGTTATGGATGCGCACTGATAAGACATCATATATTTGGATGAAATATCTATCCAATGTTCCCTAGTTTTCAGTAGCTATTAACCCAAAGTCATTATGTAATGTAACTTATCTTCAAATGGGTTGGAATCTCGCGAGGCGGGATCGTGGATGCGTACTGCTGAGGAGTCTCACAATAGGACGAAACGGCCATCCAGTACTTCCAGGTTTTCCATGGGGGTCTAGCTTCAATTAATTCATGATCTCAACTGTACAAAATTACTAAAATCTCCACAAAACCCTCTTCTGTAAACTTGAAGATTATTAAATGTTTTCTTTATTTTAACAAGAAAATATGCAATTCACCATATTCTCTACAAAATATTCTTGATACTGACCATCCGTCATGCGTACTTACTACTGCACGTTTTCGTTTATCATTATTATTATTATTACTATTATTATTATTATTATTATTATTATTATTGGTATCATTACTCTCATCTGAAAAACAAATAATTTCAACATACTGTAAATTACACTGTACATTTGGTCAGTTATAAATAATTTTCAACCTTATTTATACCATATTAGTTCTAATGAAACAAATTATGGTATTTTCGAAAACCCAATACAGTGTTTTTCATACTCTTAATACTGATATTCTGGGCCAAATGAGACATATTACAGCATAGAGTTGTGGAAGTTGTTGAGTTTTAATTGAGATAATGAACTGAACAGTTTTATACCACCACTGAAAACCCGGAAACACTAGATAGCCGTTTAGTCCTAGTATAGGACTCTTATTCGCCACGCATTCATGATCCTGCCCGCAGGATTCCGGCTCAGGACCTTAGGTCTCGCGCGCAAATGTTTAACCTCTAGGCCACTGAGCCGGCATCCAACAGTGTTAATGTTTAACTTCAACCAATCCACCATATTGCGCGACCATCTTCCATTGTCTTCGGTGAGTAACTGCCTCACATACGACACGGTTATGAGATTGTTGAGTTTTAATTAAGATCGTGAACCCTTGGTCTAACATATATTTTCAAATCGTTGGAGAATATTATTGGCCATAGTTTTACGTCTTGAAAGTGTGACTTTATTCTTAAAGTAGAAAGATGTATATTTATAAATGAACATAAATGTATGTTCTCGACTAAAAGTTTGAATCTTCCCATTGATATTTAGGATTGGAATTGATCAGTCTCTTATTGGCATGTGTGCATACTGTGCGTATCGCCTCGATATAGCACTTGATCACTTCAGGTCCTAAACATCAATGGGAAGATTCACACAAGCAATACTAAGTGAATTTATACGTTTATATGTTTATCTATTTATATGTTTTAATGATTTCCATAAATAAAGTTTGATTTTTGTGATATTACGAACAGTGTGAAGAATTTCTATAGTTCTCAATCTGACGAATATTATAACTTTTTTTTCAAGCATTCAGTTTGTCAAATTATGTTAACATGTAATATTGATGTAGCTGGTTTGATTATTTGAGCACTTAAGTCCTTCATAACCCTAGTTCAATATGTATAAGTATTAACTTTATTCAGTATTTTGCTGGTCAGTAATTTCAGTCTTTTTTTATTTTCTGTAAATTTCCTAACTACTCACTCATTTTTACATTGGTTCAAGTAAGCAGGAAATTTTACTTTCAGATACTCTTATGCATATTTAAGTATTTTGGAAGTGCGATTTTTCTGAAAACATTTCAAGATATAAATTCTGTGATTATGCTTTATTTTACCTATTCAGTAATTAATATTTATAATGACAGTATTAATTATCAGAAGGGGTTTTGTGGAGATTTAGTATGTTTCATAGTTGAAAGCATGAGTCAACTGAAGCTAGACCACCATCGTTGGATGCCAGCTCAGTGGTCTATCGGTTAAGGGCTCTGGTTCAAGACTGGTAGGTTCTGGGTTCGAATCTCGCGAGCGCGGGTTCGTGGATGCGCACTGCTGAGGAGTCCCATAATAGAAGGAAACGGCCGTCCAGTGCTTCCAGGTTTTCGATGGTGGTTTAGCTACAATTGACTCATGCTTTCAACTATGAAAGACAGTATTCTCAAATTCTTCAAAAGCGTATGATATACGTTAGTATCTTAGAACTAATGAATAACTGCAAATCCACGTTAGTAACGTATAAAACGTTTTTAGGTTAGAACCTATCGGGGATCCTGTACATTTTATACGGATAAACGGCGAGACTATAATTTATGAACGACCTTTGAGCGAATCATAAGTGACCTTGAGAAATGTTAGTCAATCAGTAAACAGTCAGCATAGAGTAAACATTTATTATGCAAAACCAAAAAATTAAAGTGGGTACACCTCTTTTATATGATCCAAAAACTTCTCAAGGTTAGAAAAAGGTTCCAAAATTGTAATGCATAGCGTAGAGGAACTCATCTATACGGCTCCATAATAGTTGGTCTCCGGAGCCATGATAAGGTCACAAAAACCCTCTCAGCCTCGAGCACATAGTTTCATCATTGTTTGTGTGTATTCCGGTTGTGTAAGTTTATCATTTTTATTATGGATATGTCCCCACAACACTCATAACACTGAACAGCCGAAGCTTCAGTAACATCTGCGATTATTGCAGCCAATGTTACTGGTGCTTTTACTATACAGTTACAATTATTAGAATATGCCTTAGTCTCAAGCTGGATCGAGCGATGAAGGGTCCTATTCTAGCAAACATCTTCCTTCAACATACATTTTATCGAAGGACAACATCACGGTAGTCTGCACAAGGCCTACAAGTCATTTTATTACCGCGATTACAAATACAAGAACTTCCTAGTAGTTTCGTTTGTTGTAGCCGCTTAATTGTCAAGTCTTCTCTAAAATTCTCTGCAAACCGATCGTACATGAGCATCAGGAAATGAAATTGGCGCCGTGACCTTGAAATCCCTCAAACGCTTTGATTGGCTCGTTCATAAATTATAGTCTCGCACTCCTACTATATAGAAAGCAGAAAAAACTGATAACAAGCCTCAAATAGTATGAGAATAGCTGTCTAACACCATACAATTTTCCGTAGTTTATTAGTCTTTAAAATCTCAATTCAAATGGACCATAGCTTTCACATTTTTAAGAGTAATTCATCACATAATTGTTGTGATTGAAGATTTAAGATTTAGGAAATAGCATTAACTAAAATTATATAAATTTTATGTAGCTTTCAACCTTTCCGACATACAACAAAGGGCCATATAAATCCATTTTAATTTTTTTAATGTTATATATAGATATATAGTTAGTTAGTTAACCAGTATCTGGATATTCGCCCCAGTTTGAATTAATATTTTACGAACTTAATTGAAGCAATGATTTATTAACATACTTATTATACATGGAAATGAATATTCTGATCAAATATATATATTCTGAAAAAATAAACTTTTCATAGTAAGCAAAGATGGATAGTGGCTAGCAGTGGAATCCAGTTTGACGCGCGTTTCGCTCTATTTGGGACTCGTCCATCTTTGCTAACCATGCTTGTGAATTTAGGCTATATCGAGGCAATACACACAGTATGCACATATGCTAATTAGAGACTGACCAGTTGCAGTCCTAAAACATCAATGGAAAGATTCAAACAAACAATACTAAGTGAATATAAACTTATCATACATTTTTTGCGATGAACTGAACTCAGATTCAGAAAATTTTGAAAATAAGAAACCATTGGGCTATTATTGGAGATGTAAATTACTGAATACCTCTAGTTCTTTGGATTGATTGGATTTATGAGTGCACATTGTTGGGAAGGTTCATATTAGAAGGAAATAACTAACCAATCTTCTCTGGTTTCTAGCAGCTGAAGTCAGTTCATCACAAAAAAAATATCTCAAAATTAATCTCATCACCAAAACAGATCAAAAATTGAAGTTATATTCATATTTACTACTTTATCATTGTTCCAGAATTAGAGATTAGATGATTGACTGATCAAAGTGTTCCCATACATATCTATCAAATTCACTATACTGTTTTTTGTTTACAATACAGATAAATTACTATTAAAGTTCTATCACTCAATACCTAAAATTATCAAGACTAAATTGTTATATTTTGTGATACACATTTAAGTTAATAAATACGAGGAATATAGACAGTGAAAAATTATTTATAATTTACACATGAATTAATATTCCATAAAGTCAATCAATCAATTAATTACAATCGCTGAATAATTCCCATTTTAACAGTATCCTGAAGAATTGTTTTATCTACATGCTCAACATATTACTGGTATATTTTGTTTCTACTCATTTAGGCCTGGAATTAAGTTTCATGTTTTTATTCTCACCTACTAGTTGCTACTATTAATCTAAGAATGAACTTCGATGGAAATAACATCGAAATGTTGAAATAAATAAAGAGATGATGATTTGGTAAGCAAAAGACCTTCTATTACCAGAGGATGTTATGAATGTGATATAACAGATCTGTTTAGATCATAACAACAATGGTGTTGGAAATATCTAACAAAATAGCAGACTTGAAACGAAAGTAACCGTATTGATAATATCAAATATCATTGTGATAATCTGTTTAAAATGTTATCGAAGAAATGATTATTCGTTAAAACTATATTTTATTAACAAAAGGTTTAGATGATAGTTTTGTCAAAGTTCTGTCATTAAGTAACAGAACCAATTAATAGGCGAAAATAAAGATAAGAAACTGTATTTTGGATTCAATTGGTTAGGAATAAAATATACCAGTAATATTGTGAACATGTAAATAAAACAAAATTCAGGATACGGTTTAACTGTAAACAAACAAACAATAATAATGAATATATATGATGAATGTCGACAACATTTCACTTACCAGAAAATGTAATCAACCCTTTACCTTCAATAGGTGTCCATCTAAGATAGTTATTTGAAATATTAGGTGATTCTAAGCATAAAAATATAATAAATGCAGTCACATATCCAATTGTCTGTCCAACAACATTACATGTAGATGCCCAACCTAGATTTTTTCTACAAAGAAAAGTTTTAAAAAAAAAGTTACACGGAATCACTAACAGGAATGTTATATATTCAATATTCAGAGGTCTAATATATTTTATATAGTTGAGATCATGAGTCGATTGAAGCTAGACCACCAAGGAAAACCTGGAAAAACTGGAAGGCCGTTTCGTCCTATTGTGGGACTCCTCAGCAGTGAGCATCCAAGATCTCGTCTCGTGAGATTCGAACCCATGACCTATCAGTCTCACGCGCGAGCACTTAACCTCTAGACCAATGAGCAGGATAGCATCCAACAGTATTAATGTCTAACTTCAACTAATCCACGAAATTGACTGACACATTCACCAATGTCTTCAGTGAGTTGATATCTCACAACAGACCTGGTTGAAGTCCACTGGTTACTGCTTCTCACTAGAACTCCAGGGTCTGAACTATATAAAATTACTAAAATCTCCACAAAACCCCCTTCTGATTTAATATATTACTTGAAAATAATAAATAAAAAGGAAAAGAAAATTTTAATTAAAATAACATTGGAACCATTAACATTTAAATTACTGAGTCCATAATCTGTAAATTGACTTTTTAATATCATCACAACCGAACGTTAATTTATCTCGTTTGTAAAGGTAATAATCTTCTGCTTGATGATGTTAAAGACTTCAACTGATCAAACTCGTTTAGGTATATGGACATTATTAGCTGATTACCATGATTACTGAATCACTAATAATAAATTTCATTACGACATAGTAATGATGATGAATAAAAAATGATTAATAATTTAATAGTTGAATTAATGGGCCAATTGAAGCTAGACCACCATGGAAAACCGAGAAACACAGGAAGGGACACTGAATGTCAGTTGGTCGGATACCATCAGCAACAGCCTAATGTGGGAGAGAACAAACCAATTTTCAGCTGAAGAGGAAATTAGGAAAAGACTCTGGAGGTGGATAGGACATACATTGAGGAAATCAGCGAGCTGTATCATAAAGAAAGTGTTAACTTGAAATCTTGAAAGGAAACGGAAAAGTACAAGGCAAAAGAGTACACTGAGTCGAGAATTGGAAGCAGACATGAAAAAGATGAATAGCAACGGTAAACAACTGGACAGGATTGCCCAGGACAGAGATCGATGAAGAATGCTGGTGACCGTCCTATGCTTTCCCACGAGGAGTAACAGGAGGAGGTAAGTAAGTAACACTTAAAATGAGGACATGACCTACAGAATTCAGTCAACAACTTTAATATAACAATCAGATTTCTATATATAAGAGTATTTTTGGACAAGTTGAAAACAGAAATGATTAACAAGAAAAACCCTACCACAATTTTTATTTTACAGATAAACACCTATGAATGAATAGCATATGTCACACAAAACATTGATAAATGAAGTTATAAAGAGTATGAAGTAATTTCATACTAAATTGATTATTCATATCTAGAAACTCTAGAACGAATTCACAAAAAATGTATGATCTAATCAGGAAAACATTTTCGAAAATTCCCCATCAAACTTTACAATTTCATATTGAAATTATTTATTGAGAATATTTGAATTATTATGGTTAATTGATTAAAATTACTTCATATCTGTTTTCCTTCCTGTACTATATCCTCATATACAACCTACAACCACTAAATTAACTACTTCTATGAATTCGGTGTTCATCTTGTTGTGCTAACGAGGTATGGCAACTTGGACCGACGGATATATGTGCCTGATCCTATGTTGTAGCTGATTGAATGATTATGGTTAACTAGATCGGAGTATACATATTGATGTGTGGGCGAGAATGATAATGATTGGTTGTTTTGCTGAGTCAGACATGTAGACTGTTATAACAAGAAACTCTAGCTTTATAACAAGCATCCTACCTTTATAACATTATTTTTATTTATTTAAACACATAAATATTGGTACAAAAAGCCACCAGATATATATGCGCCATACAAACCTCATTCGATTTGCTTGAGGGCTGTGATACTGCCCAGGTGCCCAGACTGAAGCAGGTGGTTTTCTTAGGGGACCACACCCGGAGCCTTTGACCTAAAGATCTGATCCACAAGACAGTGGAGCATCGTGAGGAGATGCAGTCCCATGGTAGCCGGTGACCAACGGTTGGTTCATACGCCATTTGTTCCCTCAGGATCCTGGAACCCATGTGCACCATTGGTTTGGAATCAGGGTTTTCCAACTCCCCTAGGTGGACTTTCCGTGTCCACCAACCCGGTTAAAGTGCCGGACATTCGCTTTTCGTCCTCTCAATTTCGTAAACAACACCCCCGCCACGAGAAGGCAGTGAGTAGGACTTCCCTGTCAGAAGCTATATATTCGCTGGCCATGTGAGAGCATTTCGAGAGGGAGAGGTGACTCTCCTCACTCTCGGCCGTACCGGGGCATTTGGGGGCTTATAACACATATATATGTGTTATAACACATATATATGACAGAATAATAATAATTATAACATAGTCATGAAAATGCTTTTATAACCATAAGATATTTGTCTGTATGTATAGAGTGAATAAAATGCTTCTTATGGATAGTAAACTGAATCAAACTTAATAAACATTGTAAATAATCTGAAGAAGTATAAATTTAAGATTGAGATTAATAATAATAATAATAATAATAATAATAATATACAGAAAGAAACAGTAGGGGTGTACATAAAAATAGTTTGTACACTTGTCCAATATTATTGGTATAGAGATGAATTGGTAATGTAATACAGTAATAATCAATGGTCATTTGAGGGAAAGTGATCCAAAATTAGTTTCTGAATTCATAAGTTTAATCTAAAATTTTTAATGATTATTAACTTAACTACTCTCTAAATGAATGGTGAAGAAAACAGCTTAATAGTTTCATTGGTACTTGGTATATGATGGGAAATATTGATAATCTATCAATTTCCTTCTCTGTATTCATTAAACAAGATAATATCATACATTTAAAATATATTTTTTTGAATATTTTTACCTAACCCTTTTAAACTTCTTTAAAGAAAGTCTTGGTAAATTTGATGGATTCAATAAGTGATTTCATTTTTATAGATTGAACTACTTAACACATTTTGTATAAAATCTAAACAAACTACAAAAATGACAGAGCTAACAATGTTAATTGTCATAACAGAAAATTTGGAAAACAGTTATAAGAATATCATTTTAATGTTTATGCACAAAACTGATCCTTGTCCATTGACTATCAGTATTTAACAAAATGACTCTTTTATAAGCTTAGTTATTGCTGCAAATATGTACATATTTAACCCGAAACCGTGAGACTAATATGATTAAAACATCTTTTTCAAAAACATTTTATGAATCAATTGAAGCTAGACCACCAAGAGAAACATGGAAACACTGGACGACTGTTTCGTCCTACTATGGAACTCCTCAGCAGTGCGTATCCACGATATCGTCTCGCGAGTGAATGCTTACCTTCTAGACCAGTGAGCCGGCACCCAACGGTGTTAATGTCTAACTTCAACTAATCTACGAAATTGAGCGACACATCCACCATTGTCTTCAGTGAGTTACTATCTCACAACAGACCCGGTCGAAATTCACTGCTCACTGCTTCTCACTAAAACTCTAGGAAATACCTTAAGGAGCCAGTCACTAGTGAGCATACATTGATTATTATCAGAAGGGGTTTTGTAGATATTATAGTAATTTTAATAGTTGAGATTATGAATCAATTGAAGCTAGACCACCATAAAAAAACCTGGAAGCAATGGATGACCATTTCGTCCTATTGTGGGACTCCTCAGCAGGAGGATTTTTCAATGTAAAAATAACCACACTTGTCAACATTTATTTTCTGATATTAGTCTACTATCTCAGTTATTTCCATTATAGGCATCAGTCTAATAAAAACAAACTCAAAAATAGTCTGTTTTTTTTTCTGCTTACTGTAGACGCCAAATATGGTCAAAATTATTTAAAAGGAAAAACTTATTCTCTTATTCTTTTGTAAATTCTATGCTTCATTAAAAGTTAATATGATATAAGTTGTCCTCTATACATTTAAGATTATTACATTGATAATAGTAAAAAAACAATAATCATTACGATGGAGTCATTCAATATTCAATTGTATAATGTTTTAATCTACCAAATAACCAGTATTTATTGATCAATCTTATCATTATAAAAGAATGAACAACATTCTTTTTTTGTTGTAAATAATGTCTTTCTTCCTAGAATCATATCTGCTACATTAATAGAGTGAGATAGAAAAGATGTTGGAATTGAATAACTAAGACAAAATTGAAATAAGCAAGATAGTAGGCATGTAGGCAGTAGAATAAAATAAATAAACAGTGGATATAAACTTAATTTCCTGTTTTAACTATATTATGCTATTGAACCAATCAGGATCAAGATATTTGACAAGTAAAACAAGTTAGTATTCATTTTGCCTATAGTTTTATAAAGGATATACTTATTGAAAGTTTAAATCACTTAGGATCGATAATGAAAAATTTTCTGATTCATCTTGAAGTGAAAATGATATGATGTGAACATGGAAGAACTTTGAACGGTTACTCGTGGTAAAAATTCGGTTAAAGAGATACTTTGTATAATGTTCGTTTCCTTCTTCTTCTTCTTCTTCTTCTTCTTCTGAATTGAACTTTCAACTCAATAATGTCATCACTGAGGTATAGAATAATAGGCACTTCTTTCACATATATACCGCTTACAAAGCTGAGAAATTGAATTTACATGTCTATCATATCGTTGTTCAGTGACAAAATTTTTTGGATAGTTTGAGAATAAGTATTTTGAACGTTATCCTGCTTCATTTTTAATTCTTTATGATTCACCAAAGAACCTGGACATATATTGATCTCAATTTGAATGAATAAATTTTCATTGAGAAAAACATAAACCCTAAAAAAAATCATTAACTACATTAAAGTAACGTATGTATTTAGTCGCCATCATTTTTTGGCGACAGATTTTTTTATTTCAAAGGCTCGTGTACTCAT